CAAGGGTGTATCCTCGGCTCTTGGAGGAGTCAAATCCTCCATGACCAAGGGAGTATCTTCAGTCATGGAGGAGTCAAATCCTCCATGACCGAGGGTGTATCCTCGGTCATGGAGGAGTTGAATCCTCCATGACCAAGGGTGTATCCTCAGTCATGGAGGAGTTGAATCCTCCATGACCGAGGATACATACTCAGTCATGGAGGTTTCACTCCTCCATGACCAAGGGTGTATGCTTGGTCATGGAGGAGAAGTACCCCAGACGGCCCGGCCAACTAACCTGGACCGGATGGTACCCCCAACGGCAGCCGGTCGACCCAAAACAGTAGTCAGCTCATGTTTCTCCTGGCCGATGAGAGTGTACTCTCATCAGCCGAGAGTGTTTCTCTCGTCCGATGAGAGTGTACACTCTCATCAGCCGAGAGTGTTTCTCTCGGCCGACGAGAGTGTACACTCTCATCAGCCGAGAGTGTTTCTCTCGGCCGACAAGAGTGTACACTCTCAACGGCCGAGAGGTTTTCTCCCGGCCGTTGAGGGTGTACACTCTCATCGGCCGAGTGTGTTTCTCTTGGCAGATGAGAGTGTACACTTTCAGCGGCCGAGAGAGTTTCTCTCGGCCGCTAAGGGTGTGCCATCAGCGGCCGGCAGGATTCCTCCCGGCCGTTGCGGGCCCTTTTTGGTAAGCGACACCCAAAACCCAGTGGGTTTTGGGACATCGACTCCCAACCCCTTCGGGGGTTGGCCTTTTTTTTATTAAAATTAGTGGGTTTTTGACTCCCAAAGCCCCTGAAGGGTTTGGGGGATTGACTCCCATTCCTCGGGGATTTCGGTGGAAATTCCGGGGGTTTTGGGGTTTGGGAGTCGATCCTCCACTTTTTGGGAGTCGATTAGCTAAGACCCTAATGAAAAGAAATTTACCACGAGAGGATTTGTCTTTTGAGTTAGACATAACAGAAAGACTAAAATATATTAGATCAAACAGCAATATGGTTTTAAACAAGATTCAGAAAGAGAAAGTAGAAAGGTTAATGTTTTTTGTCAGAAGAACAGAGTAAAAGTTGATCGAGTATTTTCTCACCAAATTGGCAGAAGCCAAATGAGGAATTCAAGAGAGAGTATTGGCGGAGCAAGGATGAGTGGTGGATGGAGAGATGTTGGAAAGAATTGAGTTTGTTGTCGATAGGATTGAGCAAGAAGGGATAAGAGCAAAAGGAGAAAGAGAGAGAGAGAAGAAAAGAAACGGAGTCGGAGAGCGAAGATGATGAGAATGATGAGGATTTTGAGAGAGTTTTTGAAGATAGGCCGAGCAGTTGAGGCAAGGATATTGGGTAGTAGTGGGGAGAGATGAGATCGGTCAGGAAACTGATTTGAAGACTGCTGGGAGGAAAAAGAGAGCCAAGACGGAGAAAGAAGAGACAGTATTTATAGTGATACAAGACTGGGTTGACTTGTGGTTGGGTTAGGTCTTGAGGAGTCAGTTGTGTGGCTTTTTGGTGTCTTTGGTGGAGACTGATATGAAACGAGTCGTTTGCATGGAGACTTGGAAGAATTGAGAAGGAGAGAGAAAGAGATGGATGTAAGAGATTGGGGAGAGAGAGATAGCGGAGAGAGAGAAAGAGCGGAGATTGCGGGAGAGAGAGAGCGGAGCGGACAAAGAAAAAAGAAAACAGAGTGAACAAGGGATAGAGTTTGAGCACCAGGAACCGAGGGCGGAGAATTCCAACAAAAAATGAATTTTAATTATTATTATTTTTTCACTCATTTCTCAATTAATTGTTTGAATACATGTTTGTACCTTATTTTTTATGTTTTTTTTTTGAAATTTTAAATTTATTTCCTAGGTTTTAATATGTGTATAATTTAATGGTAACATTCAATTTTTATAAAAATGAATGGCTCATTTCTTATAATGCAATCAGCGGTGGGCCGCTACGCTACACTACGCTACGGGCCCATGTAGCGTTAGCGTAGCGGCGCCATTTTGTTTTTTTTTTCGCGTAGTGTTAGTGCGCCGCTACGGCCGCTGCGCTACGCTAATTCGTAGCGGCGCTAACACTCGCCAATTTTTGGTGTAGTGTTAGCGCGCCTCTGGTGCCGCTACGCTGCGTTACGCTACGCTACAGCGTTTTTAGCGGCAAAAAACGCCTAAAAACCGCTAAAAACTGCTGTAGCGCAGCGTAGCGGGCGGTTTTTTGCGCCCTGCGCGCGTAGCGTTAGCACAGATGGGGGGAATCGCGCTAACGCTACGCTAAACCCTAGCGCAAGTTTTTTCCCCATGCGCGTAGCGTTAGCGCAGAAAATGAGAAAACTACGCTAAATTGTAGCGGTTTTTCGCTACGCTAACGCTACACTACGCTACGCTAACGCTACGGTTAGCGTAGCTGGCCCACCGTTGATGCAATCATACCCATTTTTTCACTTACATTTTTACAGCTTAAATTTCATTCTTTTTTGACATTTTAAAATTCTTTCCTACACTTTAATACATGTGAAAAATTATTGTAAGAATAATTTTACATCAAAATCAAAGATTTTTATTGAATACTGCGTTGGACAGGTTTTTTTTTTTTTAATGTTTTTTTAATTGGTTTTTACCAGCTTAATTTTGAGCATTTTTTGAAATTTTAAATTTATTTCCTAAATTTAAAAATGTGTAGAATTTGATGGTGAAGTTCAATTTTCATAAAACTCAAAGCTTCAATCTTAATATGTGAGTGTACACCATTTCTTGCATAATTTGTACCGTATACAAATTGTATTTTAATGCAAAATGGTTACAGCCATCAATGTTGAAATCTTTTTTAAGTGTAGGAAATGAATTTGAAATTCCAAAAAATAAGGATGATTAAGTGTGTATGAATTAATTAAAAAAACACGTCAAATGCTATGCAACGGCCCGCAAGTTCGGCGAACTAGAATCAACGGTGGGCCGCTACACTAACCGTAGTGGTTAGTGTAGCGTAGCGCAGTGGAATCGCTGTTAGCAATTAGCGTAGCGTAGCGGAATTCCGCCACGACACCGCTAACGCTACGCGTGTGGGCCGCAAAAAAGGGCCCACTACGCTGCGCTACAGCAGTTTTTAGCGGTTTTTGGCCGCTTTTTCCGCTAAAAGCGCTGTAGCGCAGCGTAGCGTAGCGAAAAACCGCTAAAAAACCGCTAACACTACGGTTTTTGCATGAAAAAAAAGCGCCGCTACGCTACGCTTTTTGGGCCAAAAGCGTAGCGTAGCGGCCCACCGCTGCTAGAATTCACCGACAATCCTTACGCGGAATCGGGAGTCCGATCCAACTGGGATCCAACCACTGGACAACCGAAAATGGAGAAAAAGCCTCAAGTATCAAAGGCCAGCATTGCCCCGATCCCATCTGGCTCATCCTCCCTACCCCAGCGCCCTCACCCGGCCAGAGCCCCGAAGTCTCATGGCTACAAGGGGAACAACTTTAACCTGAATCACGGAGTGAGACCTTCCGATTACTCCTCCAAACATCCCTAGTAGGTTACTTCTTCCCCTCCTCTCCCTTTTCCTTTCCGCCCGCATCATATCCCATGAACCATTCACTGCTCCGCCCCCATTCCCACTTTTCTTCAAAAAAAAAAGAAAAAAACGAGTGCCATAGATGGCCTCAGTAGTTGCGATACTCCTTCCCCCCTCTTTTCCCTTCCCCTTCACTTTTTGTAAATAGTTTTTGACCTAAGCTAGAAATAAGAGCTCCTTTTCTTGAGAAATACATTCCCTTCGCGCAAACCTTTCCAGTTTTCTGACTCGTGAAATCCTCCAAAAAAAAAAAAAAAAAGTGCCCAAATTCTAGGTAAGAGGAATGAATACCCTCTTCCAAGACAATCCATGCTCCCTTTGGCTACAGAAGACGACAGTATAGACGTACCAGCCTATGATGATGATCAGGCCTCAGAACCCCTCTGGCCAACGGAAGTGAGCTGTGAAATGAACATTGAAGCATGGCAATCTGCCCTCCTCAACGCCGGACTTTTACCAGAATTCGAAGATGTCATATCTGGTTTCAATAATGGATTCCCACAAGGTATCCCCTCCCACTTGATGGGAGAAGGAGTGCCTTACTTCACCCCCCCTAACCATGCCTCAGCCTGGGAGGTCAAAGATAAGTTTGAAGAAAGACTCCAAAAAGAGTTAGCGGCCGGGCGGATGTTTGGCCCCTTCACCCACGACCAAGTCCAAAGGTGTTTCCCTTTCTTTAGATCAAACCCTTTAGGAGTGGTCGTTAACAGCAATGGCTCTTTGAGACCAACAAACGACCTGTAATTCCCCCACCATAACCCTCACGTTCCCTCAGTGAACTCTTTTGTCAACCCAGACGCGTTCTTGACCACCTGGGACGACTTCAATGTCGTATTGAGCTTCCTTCGCAGCACCCCCCAACCTGTCTCACTTGCGATTTTTTGACTGGGAAAAAGCCTGTAGGCAGATCCCAACGGCAATGGACCAATGGCCATTTCTACTCGTTAAAAACTTTGAAGACATGCTGCTACTAGACACAAGGATTACGTTTGGTGGCGTCTCTGGTTGCGGCTCCTTCGGACTCCCAGCTGACGCATGGAAAGCAATAATGCTCCACGAATTTGACTTGATCTCCATTTTCCGCTGGGTTGACAACAACCTTTTCGTCAAGAACATCGACTCACAAACAGAAATGGAAGACATAGTATCCCGTTCCAATGAATTAGGAGTCAAGAAAAACGATGAAAAGTTTTCTCCATTTGCCACAGAACAGAAACACATTGGTTTCGTCTGGAACGGTGTAGACAAGACGGTTAGGCTCCCAGATGGTAAACTGTTTGATCGAGTCAACCAACTTAAAACTTTCGCAAAGCTAGAACGCTTCTCCTATCACAATGTAGAACTGATGACTGGGAGGCTCAACCACGTATCTTACATCCTCCCTCAACTTTGATGCTATCTCTGTAGTTTTTATAGATGGATGAAAAGTTGGGTAACAAGATGTGCTTTAAGAGACCTTCCTGACGATGTCCAGAACGATCTTGAGCAATGGATGCATACTCTTTTGACATTCAAGCCTACTTGCTTGATACCTAACCCCACCCCGACAGAAATTGGGTGGGTGGGTGATGCATCGACCAGCTTCGAGATAGGAATCCTCATCGGCAATTGATGGGCCCAATTCCAACTAACCAAAAGATGGTGTGACTTAAAAAGTCACACTGGCGGTATAGCATGGCTAGAAACTGTAGCAATCCGCCTTGGTCTTTTAATGCTGGAGTCTTTAGGGATAAAGCACGGTAAAAAATTCATTGTTTGGACAGACAACACAACAACGGAAAACGCCATCCGGAAAAGGAAATCTAGAGACCCCTCTGTAAACAAAGAGTGGAAAATTATTCAAGACCTCCTAGTCAAACTCCAAGCCGACATCGACCCTCGCAGAGTCAGATCTGAGAGTAACACAGCTGATAGCCTATCCAGAGGTATCGGAGACGGTCATGAATGGCGACACGTTGTCCCCATTCACATGCCTTGACCTTGACAATATCCTGTTCCAGATACTTTATTGATCGTTTTATGTATCCCTATACACACCTTGTACATCTAAATATAACTAAAGGAATAGCCTCAGAGGACCAAACAAACCGCCAGGCTTCAATCAGTATTTCTATTGTTTCTCATGCGGCTTCTAACGCCGGCGTCAATGTTGCACAATTCAACGGCATTTCCAACATTCGTTAGGACTTTACAATCATAGCGACCTTCAAAAGTGAAGGCTATTACACCATAGGACCTTCAAACAAGTAAAACCATCCGGGGCAAAAACAAGCAGCCTCCCCAAATTTGGGGGCATATACTAGTAGTATATAATGAAACTTGAAAATGATGTGTAATAAAGAATAACAAATCTGAGACTATGAAACTTTGTATGTGAGAGTGAGACCAGTGCCTCAGGTCTAATCCTAACCTGCACAAGGTCGGTGCACCCATTCCCCCATCTTCACTCCCTACATCCTTGCAAGAAACCAATTGATCATTCCCATGTTCCAAGTCGACAAGCTAGCCGCACTCCTCAAAGATGGCTCTTTCGAAAAAGAATTCACTCCCCAAGATCTACATTTCCTGAGAGGCTACAAATGGAACTCACTAGTAGGATTTAACACCGCCGTGAAGAAGTTCCTAAAATTCATGAATTTGAAAGGAAGACTACCCTTCAGACTTCCTGTGGACGAAGATACGATCCATGAGTTTTGCTTTTGGGCCGGTCGAGATGAAGACACACTGACCGGCCAAGAGATCGCCGCCAGTACGCTCGGGAAGTACCTGCACGGCATCCAGGTATGGCACATATACCACAAAGCCACCTACCTGGGCACTGTCAATAAAAGAGTAAAAATCCTCCTCCGCTCAACACTGGGAAGTTACATATGTTACAATATCCGAAGGGATTTTTGTAACGTAACTTCCCAGCTGTCCTAATAACGCCGTTAGCGTTATCCAGACAAAATGGGTTTTTGGGTCATGAGTAACGTAACAAAGGGGGTTTCTCCCCTCGTTACCCAGAAAAATAACGCAAACAACAAGTTATCTGCGTTATTGACCTAGTTATTCATTTGTTAATCCACCTTTTTGCGCTGTGGATAACGTAACAACAAAAAAAAATAAGAAAAAATAAAAAATAAAACGTAGCGGAAAGGCCGTTGCAATTATTGCAACGCTAACAGCCCTGGTTTTGTTGCGTTATTGTTACGCTACCGTTACTGGTAGCGTAACCTCCCAGTGTTGCTCCGCTCCTCAGCTAGAGTCGACACAACGGTTGCGGCCAAACCAAAGAAAGGAGCCGTCCACCTAAAACACATGGTCTAAAGATGGCCCCATGGGACCCGGGTACCAACTGCTTTTTTTGGCCAAAACAGACACCGGGTACCGCACCCGCTCAAGTATGAAGGGTACTGGCGGTACTCCTGGCGGGTACCGCCTGGCTACCGGAGCTTCTTCCAGGCAACCTGGTTGAGACCAATCATGTCGCCAAGGAGGGCCATTACCGGAGACCTGATTGGTCTTGATCAGGTTGCCAAGGAGGGGTCCTCTCCAGCAACCTGGACGAGACCAGTTAGTCTCGGTCAAGCCACCGAGGAGGGGGTTTGGGGGCGGGTACCCTTGAAGGTACCAGGGTACTGCCTGCTTTTTTGCCCAAAAGCAGGCACCGAGTACCGCACCCGGCACCACTTGGAAGGTACCGTAGGAGTGAAGGCGGTACCCGCCAACGGGTCCCGGGTACCGCAAGGCCATCTTTAACATGGTCCACCTCGCAAAGTCACTCCTCCAAGGTGGGCAAAAAGAACGTGCTATCCTTGACCTCACCATCACAGCCTTCTGGGGCATGGCCCGCCTGGGAGAACTCACCTACCCGTTGCCCAACGATCTTCAGAAAGCCCCGGAGACTCTTCTCACGTCCGACATGACACTCAGGGAACTGACCAACGGTGCTAAAGCGATTTTAGCTCCGAAGCGCAAAAACCGCAAAGCCTGGCGAAATCCAGCATATTTGTCTGAGTGCGCTCAACAACATGCAATGCCCTGTCGAAGCAGTTAAAAGGCGCCTCAGAGAGGCTAACTACAACAAGACTTCACTTTTTGGCTACCGGGGCCCAAACGGCATACGGGTTCACCTCACAAAGGACTTAGTCACAAGAACGCTTGCTGCTGTCTGGGCTGAAGGAAACTTCTCTGGCATTTCTGGTCATTTGTTCCGCGTAGGCGGTGCCTCCCTATGGAACGCTTGGGGAGTCCCCATAGACAAAATCTGCACTCTCGGCCGGTGGGTCTCAGAGTGTTACAAACTTTACATCCGGCCCTACTCCGCGACAGAACTGTCCGACTCCGTCACCTTGGTGGACGACCTCAACCTCTCTTGGGAAGCTTCCTCCAAACAAAACCTTTCGAATTGATCCGCTCTTTCTTTCTCCGCTATCCATTCATCCGGTCGGGGATGCACATCGAGAACCTGGTACATCTCTGGCTCAGGATACTCTGAGTTACGGGTCTGAGATTGTACCCCCTCGCCTGTAAGGCAAGGAAACTCTTCTTTGTTGTATACGGGACTCTTCCTCCCTTCTTCCGGTCCTGCCGACGTCCCGACCATCCTCAGGGTGGTCAGGGTCGGCGCGACAGGTCAAAAAGAATGGGGGAAGACCCCCGCCCCCGACCCACACTCGGCAAGCTTGGGAAGCACCTGAATTGCTGCTTCCGGGTTTGCCATGACACTGAAATACTGCAGTGACATAAAAGTAATATAACTATAATTAAGACCCTATTTTCATCCGTGTGAGCCACCGCAGGCATGCTCCTTACTCCCCTCCCTCTACAGGAAGAGAAGCCCTAAGCCCCCTTCCTCCCCCTAAGGAATATACCCCCCTGCCCTGACACTGTCCCGGCACGGATTGTAGATTACCAGAGTGTAGCGGGAGGTTACAGGGTCCGTAAAGGGTTAAGTGGCTTACCGGGATAGTGGCGGTGAATTTTGATTATTAATTTTTTTTCACTCATTTCTCAATTAATTGTTTGCATACATGTATGTATCTTATTTTTTATGTTTTTTTGAAATTTTAAATTTATTTCCTAGGTTGTAATGTACGTAGAATTTAATGGCGCGATCCAATTTTCATAAAAATGAATGGTTAATTTTTAATGATGCAATTACACCCATTTTTTCACTTAAATTTTTAGAGCTGAATTTTCATTCTTTTTTGACATTTTAAATTTTTTTCCTACACTTTCAGACATTTATAAATTTATGGTAAAAATAGTTTTGCACCAAAATGAGAACTACATCTTGTATACTGCATTTGACACTGTTGTTTTTATTTAATTCTTCACTTTTTCACTCAATTGTTTGCATTAATTTTTTACCTTATTTTTTATGCTTTTTTGAAATTTTAAAGTTGTTTCCTACATTTCAAAGTGTTTAGAATTTGATGGTATTATTCAATTTCCATAAAACTCAACGGTTCATTCTGAATACTGTAATTGGTCTTAAAATTCAATTGATTTTTAAGAGCTTAATTTTCATTATTTTTTGTCATTTTGAATTCATTTCCCACACTTTGAGACATGTTAAAAATTATGGTAACAATGATTTTGCATAAAGATAAAGAATATATCTTGAATACTGCATTGAATGCTTTTCCTTAATTAATTCTTGCACGCTTAATGATCCTTATTTTGTGGAATTTCAAGTTCTTTTCCTAAACTTTGAAAGGTTTTAAAATTGTTGGCTGTATCCATTTTGCATTCAAATAAAATTTGTATACAGTACAAATTATGCAAGAAACGGTGTACACTCTTATATTAAGATTGAAGCTTTTATTTTGAGGCAAAATGAATTCTACCATTAAATTCTACACACTTCTAGATGTAGGAAATAGATTCAAAATGATTAAAATTGAGCTGTTAAAAATTAATTAAAAATACATAAAAAAACCTGTCCAACGCAGTATTCATTACCAATCTTTTGTTTTTATGCAAAATGATTGTTACCATCATTTTAACCATGTCTTAAAGTGTGGGAAATAAATCTGAAATGTCAAAAAATACTGAAAATTAAGCTGTAAAAAATGAAGTGAAGAAAGTGTGTAATTTGAGTATTAAAAGTGAACCGTTGAGTTTTAAAGAAATTGGATTGCACCATTAAATTTTAAGCACATTAAAACCTAGGAAATAAATTTAAACTTTCAAAAAATCATAAAAAATAAGGTACATACATGTATGCAAACAATTAATTGAGAAATGAGTGAAAAAAAATTAATTAATAATCAAAATTCATTTTTATGGAAAATGGTTTTTACCATTAAATTCTACACCCTTTAGAGTGTAGGAAAATACTTTATAAATTAAACAAAACTCGAAAAATAATCCATAAAAAATTAAATACAAAACTGTGTTTAAACATGGAAACCGCGTGTGCTGGTAAACGCGGAAAACCCGTTTTTTTTTTATTAATGCCCAAAAAAAAAACATTTTTAACTTTTTTTCTATTATTTCTTCTCCACTCTCAGCGCATCCCATACCCTCCCCCCCCCCCCACCACCAATTTTGTGTATTTTTGACATCAATATTGAAAAAACTACCAAATTGGATTTTTTTCAACAATTTTTATTTTTTTTGATTGCATGTGTAATAAATTTGTTTGCATATTCTCTTCCTCTGACCCACTGTGCCCCTGAAACAAAAAATTAGAGTTGAAAAGTGGCTCCTTGCCTTCAAAAAAAATAAATGGGATACCACTTTTCACTGTCTAGGCACTGTACATACATACAAATATTAATTATAAGAATAAAATACAAAAATAACTCTTGAAACCCCTGTTACATTTAGAGTATTAAATATAAAAAAGTTTGATTGATCTTTATTAAATATTCTACTGTAAATAAAAATGATAAAATACATTTACATGACATGCAAATAATTAGAAACCAATCTATACCCATCAATGGTTGTTGGGAGTCATTGACTAATATTTGGGAGTCATTTTCTAACCCCCTTCTTCTAGGCCCCTGAATAAATTTATGGCTAGAATTATTCCAGAGTATAATAAGAAGTAAATTCCTGAAAACAACATTTGAAATGAGCTGGTTTAACCAGCCTGATCTTCAGGACTGCAAACCCATCACAAAGGATTTCTCACAACACCAGTTCAGCCACCAAGTGGTTGTGATTGCCTTGATGCAAGTAAAAAACCACACAGATGCTCACACAAAACAAATTGTGCCACGTGGTTTAATGAACTGGTGGGTTTATTCTTTTTCCTTGACTTCAAGGAAGTGATGTAACACGGTGCCTCCAGGTAGTATTTCTTTTCGCCCATCCAAACTTGAAGAGGATGTTTCAGGACTTTGAAGTTGGGGTACCTTTGGTATCTTTTCCACTACACGTCTGAATTCATGAATACAGCCTTCCTTTGGGCCAAATCGAATTTGTTTGTTTTTGACTATTATTGCACCACATTCATCATTGGAGCATCTAAAGTATTTCTGTGAACGTTTCACTAGGCAGTTCCCACCTTGAGGCAAGGGAGCATTACAAGTGCCTAATTTAGGAATGCTTTTCCTCTCAATCTGAGAACATCTACTTTTACATTCAATGCATTCAATATAGCTTGTAGGAAAGCAAGCTGGGATGAGGGCCAAAATGCCAAATATGATTTTGCATAGGATCATTTGAAGGATTCAAAGTTGACAAAGAGGTACTTTCAGTGTGAATTGAACTGGTGTTGCAATGTGTGTTATTTTGAGCAAGAGATAGGCCAACCATCACAGCTAATTCAGGGTGCATCAATTCATGCCCACAGACTGTACTTATGTCAGTAGAATGTTTGGGGCTACCAAATGAATGACCAAAAAAAATTGTACAAAAAACTACAAGAAACCTTGCTCAACTGCCATCACTCCAGCAACACTGTGCTGTAATCCTGAACAATTATGAATCTTGGCTGACAGAACCTTGGAGAAAGGTTTGTGCTTCATCCCCATACGCTTCCTCAGAGTTCTTTCATGTCAACTGAGAGCAGGTGACATATTTTTCTTGCAGCTGTGGAATGGACAGTAACTCAATATTCCCAAAGGCATCAAATTTCTTTTCATCAATCCATCAATATCTGACATCAATGTCTGAGTTTTGAAATGGAAACAATTATTTAAACAATATTTGGGTCCTTTTCTAAGACTTCAGTCATCTGCATGTTGGTGAGACCCAATTCATCAACAGATGCTGGTAGTCACAGTTGCTGCAGAGGTGCTGGATTGATCTGGATAAACATCAGAGAATGGTGTCACACTACAGACAATTGCCTGTTGCTGCGGCCTGATTCTGTTGTAAATTCACTTGGATGTCAGGTACATCCGACCCTCTATCATACTCAACCTCATTTGCCTATCATCCCTAAAACTCAAACCATCCCTAATTTTGGTTACGTACCTTGTTGACTGGAAGGAAGACCCTCCGAGTCCGGCCAACAAGGTTCCACAAGGCCAAGAGGGATTCCTCTTGGCCTTGAGCCATGTACAGTCTCAAGGCCCGGAGGAACCCCTCCTGGCCGCAAGACTGTACAGTCTTTGGGCTGGGAGGGGTTTCTCCCAGCCAGAAGACTTTTTTTTCTCTTTCTTTTGCACTGCCTCTGTGGGCTATTCTATAGGACCCATGCCTGGGTCCTATGGGATAGCCCCGGCCCTAAACACATATACATATGGGTTTAGGACCCAGATTGGTGTGCAGGCCTGCATGCCAACTGCGCACCAATCTACTCTGCTGCAGATTGGTGTGTGTGCCTGCATGCCAATCTGTGAGTGGTGTGTAGGTTGATGTGCGTGAGGTGGGATGGTGTGCAGATATCATGCCCCAGATTAATTTAGTAAATTAATCTAAAAGATTTGAATGAATTGAATTTGAATTACTACTTTCTAGTACAATTCTATTTGTTCTTGAGATTGATTAAACTGAAGATGATCCTTTTGTTTTGGATGGCCATGAATTGCAATACAATCAGAAACCAATCCTGGATGTGGAACAAAATCCAGGGTTTGAGATGAGAAATGAATGTTTTGCATGCTGGGATCAAGGATGTAACAGATACAATACTCTGTGTGTATCATAGAGAATTCTGCAAAGCTACATGGCCAAAAACTCAATTGTTGCATCTCCTTGCAAATACCAGCACATTGGTCAGATAATTTTCTCATTGGGTTTCAGATAAATGGAGTGATACATGACAGATACATGGCAGATACTGTATCTGTTTCATCCTTGCTGGGATTGGAAAGATATCACACGTGAAATAATTTTTGCTTTGAAGTTTGTACAACAAGTTGTGCATCCCACAATCCTCTCTCTTCTTGACTTATTGGACATTTTCAGTCCCAAAAAAAATGTTGGCCTGGATTCTCCAACAATTTAATGGGGCAGTTCACATTGGCAATTTAAGCATCACTTTGCTGATCAAGCAGACATTAAAATTTTCATTAACTTTTGCATTCATGATCAGAGATGCCAGAATCCCCTCAAAATTGAAGAGTAAGGATTTTCAGTAAATTTTATCATCTGCATCAGCAAACTGATCTCAAAGTTTCCTATGTGAACTGCCCTAACTGGAGGACTTCCCGTTGCAATTTAGAAAGCTTTTTAGAACTCCCTCAGTCCTAAATTAACAACACAATTAAGATTTCAACCAGCTCACATCAGAGCTGTTTCTGGAAGGCTTCAGAAAAAAAAAATTGATGAAAAAAAATAGATCTAAGGGGTGTAAATTGACTTCTGGGAGGGTCGTAGATAGAGATGGCCCTTGACACTCGAGTACCCGTGTCGGGTGTGGATACCTCCACCCAAATTTACTCATACAGCACACCCGCACCCGCTTAGACAGGTACCCGGGTGCAGGTGGCAGGTACCCGCAGGTGTATGTCAGCTTTGTTGTAAAAGTAGTCATGTCATTTCATTTTGTGGTGGAAACAGTGAAGTAGGTACTAGTCAAAATTCCTAGATAATCAATCTTTCCTAGCCTTCTCTTTTTTTTTTGCTTCTGCTCATTCCTCTGGTCTTGCCTCCATTGACGCAAGGTGCCAGGCTTGATTTTGCCGTTTTTTGAGTAAAAGGCTACGGTCATCCCTCTAGTGACGGATGCCGCTTTAAGTTGGTTCCGTCTCAAGGATACATACTCTCTTCCAAAACTAAATGATCGCTGGACATCCACTGTTGTTGCTGTCAATGAAATTAAGTTTGTAAATATGGGAAACCACAAAAAAAAATGAAAAAAAAAAAATAATAAAAAACACACCCAGACAGCTTAAGACATCAAGCGCCATCTGGAGAAGGCCTCCATGAGTTTTCCCACCACGTCCTTTCTTGAGCCACCACTTCAGGGGGTTGAGTGGAAGTCCTTCGTTGGTCAAATGCAACCCACCCGCAAGCCACATGCTGAGGGGATCTGTTGATGCACTTCCTGGACGTGCTTCAGACGCACCACTCAACCTAGCAAGCAGACCGGTCTGAGGCTGCTGTTTTTTGCACATGTTAGCTTAAATACAATCCAGAAAGGAGATAATTCAATGGGAATCTCCCACTCACCTTTGGACAGGTGCTTGGCTCCCTGTCTTTAGTCGGATGAGGTGTAGGTTTGTAAGTTGTTTCCCACATTTGACGTGTGAGTCGAATTGATTCGTCTATCCATTCTGGTTTCCATTTTGAAAGCTTGAAATATTCATCTTTGAATGATAGATGGAGGACTGCAACGTATAAAAAAACATTCAGTATCCAGGTTGAAGTAAAAGGAAACAATAAGATGCACCCATAGCTACTCGGTACAAAGGTGAGCAGTTCGTAAGTGTATAGTATTTGTTTTTCAATTGAATGCCAGCTCGGAATGCATTCCTCAGAGCTGCAGGATACTCTTCTCTCTTGTCGTGAATCACTGTTGAGAGATGATGTGTGATTTGATCAATAAACACAACCACTCCAGCTATTCGAGCACCACCCCGAATAGATACTTGAAGTGTTATCTCATAGAACGGTTGAAGAACATCAGCAAGGCTGCGGGCTAAGTCCAAGTCCCCCTGGTTGATTTGATGATGACGGAAGAGACCGTGGCGCTTGTCTTTCTGCCACTCAAGACTGAAAGATAATGTTTTAGCACTTGCTCTGACTTAAGGTTTTTAGAGTGAGAATGAGACAGATTGACTCACATGGCTTTTGAGCATCGCAGGATGCCTTCCAACTGCATGAGAGTTGAATTCCACAGGGTCCGTACATCATGCTCAATGTTATGGGGTTTCAGACAGTTGGTTTCCTGACATATCTCCACAAACAGCGCCTTCAAGTTGGGCAACTTGTTCAGTTTTCGTGCAATCGCTCGGAACTTGGGTGCATGAGATTCAGTCTTTGGTTGATCAATCAAATGACAAGAAGATATAGTGCATTACCTTTCCTAGTGTCTGCTTGCAGGATAAGGTTGTGTATTGGTCGGTTTCTTCCTCATCACTCAGCTCATTGACGTCCTTTGTCTCCAATTTGATTTTGTCTTCTTCAATAAGCTCGCCTGCCAGCATTGAATTGTTTGTATCACACTGATCATCTTCATTGTCGGAATCACTTGTTCCTGCTTGGAAGCTGTGTTGAGATATCAAAACATCAGTTATGATGAAGGTGGCGAGAGGCCAAATGAAATACCTTTGAATCTGCTGGTCTGTGTCCGATTCCTCATCATCCGATTTGTGTTCATGTTCGGCTGTAGCTTGATTTTTCTGGTGTCTTCCAAAAGGACGCATGATCACCTGAACAATTAAGTTCAGGATATGAGCGAAGCACTGAATCCAATGAGCCTCGCCTTTAAACCGAGTCCACTTGAATTTTTTAATCTCCTCAATCATTGTCTGATTGTTGGAGGCGTTATCTGTGACAATCTCACATATCTGATAAGAAAAGAGTGTTAATCAGCCCCAAAAAATGCAAAAGTTAGCCAAAAAAATTGAGAAAATCAAGCGAGTATTGACCTTGTTCTGTATCCCAAACTTTTCGACAATCATCCTGACTGTGTCAGCTAAATACACACCTGTGTGTCTTTCCTTCAACCTAACAAAGTTGAGAGGTGATTCCTCCAATTCAAATCCACCCAAGTCTTGTTTGACCAAGCGGTGTGGTGTTCTAAACGGTACAGGCCCCCTCAAGCTCAAATTTCAAATTTCAACTTTCAACTCTTCAATATCCTCAAGACTCAAGATTTCAATATTATCACCTCAAATCCCCACTCAGTCCAATGGTTTCCTCATTTTATTATGTTATTCCATTTCCTCTTATTATTTACTCTTCATGTTATTTTTTTTATTCATCTTGATTTTATTTTTATTTTATCATTTTATCATTCTTTATTATCTTTTTCAAATCCCTTACTCAGAAGACAGTCTTGTTTAATTTTCTTGGTCCTAAGACATCTCAGGATGTTGGTTTATTTCACTCTTGATTATTTTTGTTTTGTTTTGTTTTGTTCTGTCTTGTTCTGTTCTGTGTTGTGTTGTGTGGGTTGTGTAGTGTTGTGTAGTGTTGTGCAGTGTTGTGTAGTGTTGTGTAGTGTGGTCTTGTTTTTCTTTTTTGGTTGAGTTGTGTTGTAGTTAGGGATGTGATGACATGTCTGTGACATGTCACTCCCCAGAGTCAAAGTTCAGTTTGAACTGAGATGATGGGGAGGCATGGCACTCTGATCTGATCCAAGATAGACCCATCAAATTTTATTGATCCTTTCATTCTTGATACTTCTGATCCACCTACATATCCTCAAGTTCACTCAAACTCAACAACCGCCACAGAAATCGATTTCTGTTGTCTCCTCTCAGAAAACCAGCCAACCCCAACGCTTTTTTTGTTCAGATCACAGCTCACTTATCCGGACCCCACTTGAAGGCAGCCCTCAAAGCACCATCCCTTCAACCAACTGCCTACCGCCTGGCACGATAGGAGTTCCACAGCGGTAAACAACCGTTCCTAATACATCAAACCCATTTGGGGATTGCCAAGCATCAAGCCCCAAGTACAACGCGCCCTTATGTTTCTAATGCCAAGAAAGTCAAAGTGAAAATCTGATATTTTTATTCAAAACATATAAAAAAGAGAGACCAAACTTGCCTGAAGAGAAACCTTGAATGACTCCTGCATTGCAGTATAAAATGCACTGATGTTGTTGGAGACTGCCTTACGGGTGGGTAGATTCTTCAGGACGGTTGGGTGCATAATTCCTTGATGTGCAGTCTCTCCAAGGGCTGAAAAAGACCGAGCACCTTCAGCGCACCAGATGGCACAAAGTTGGGGCACCTGTTGGTATGTCAAGGTCAGCTCAGACCACGCAATGCACAGATAGCTTGATCACTTACCTCGCGTGGATCTATATCTCCGGTGCCGGATACACCAAGGGCGTCAAGTTTTTGGGTAGCTGCTTGTTTGTTTTGCTTCTTGGAGCAACTAGAAATGTGCTTTGAGAGGTTGGTTGTAGAACTATTGTATGTTGGACGCTTGATATTATTTCCACAGCTGGATGGAAAAAGGAAAATGATCAGTGCTGCCAGGAACAAGGACAAATCCATCTATGGAAGAAAGCTCACAGTTTACAAGGGTACGCAATCATCTTGCGCTTGAATTTATCTAATTGTTTGGATAGTTGGGGGGTGTTGTAGGATGCGTAGCACCTGCTGAGTTGATTTGCATGAACTTCTCTTGCCCTTCCTGTAAACAGTAAAGTTGGTCAGTATTTTACTTTGGTTTGATAACAATATTGTAGGTACTTACTGAGCTCCTGTTTGTCTGACCGCTGACCCTGCAACTTTGATTGGTCTGTAGCCTTGGAATCTTCAATCTCATCAGAAGAGTCTACTACATTTACCACAGTTTTATTTGTTCACCTTCTCTGTTGAGGTGGATTTTCTGATTGGCTACCAATACTAGAGTCCGACAATGGAGCCTTAGATGGTTTGCAACGCTTGCGGCTGGTCCCTGCCATTGTGATGGGGAGGGAGGTCCAGGTTGGTGAGATCAAAGTTGATTGAATGTGGTTTTTCACCGCCAAGACTTGCAGGAAGTGGAGCCGAGCCTCACGGGATATTCATATATCCATATATCTTATATAATCATTCCCTCTTTTTTTTTTTTTTTTTTTTTTTTTTTTTTTTAGTGTAATTTGGCCTATGGCATTGCAAACTATGAATCTGAGTAACATCCTAGTGAAAAGAAAAATAACACTTGTAATCTAACACACCCAAAATGTGACCCGTGTGAAATAATTGAGAGACATGAGACTGAGAAACAGGTTAACAAAAACAGAGACAAAAAGAAGAAAAAAGGAACTCAGAAAAGGGAAACGACAAAAGAGAGATAAGGATGAAGTGAATTAAATCATCGAATTGATAACTGATCCGTGAACCGATTTGTGTCGTGTAAGAAGCTAGCTAGGGCCGATTCAGCTTTCTGATCACTGAGTATTCTGTCGAGTCTGTCCGCTTTGAATCGAATCTTCAGACATCGCAGTTTCTTGCGGAGGGAAGCTCTCTGACATTTGAAAGCCGGGCAAAAGTTCATTAAATGAAAGACCGTCTCCCTCGCCCCACAATTGGGGCAGAGGGGGTCGAGAGTCCTACAAATGCGGAAAAGATGTTTTTTCAGTGCACAATGACCTGAAGCTAATTGATTAATCAGGGAACTGTATCCAATTGGTAGACATGATGGTGTCGGTCTTTTGGACAACAGGCCTTCCAATGCCCTGCGATAGACCTTCTTGTAATTGCTTTTGATTTCCAGAGACGGTGTGAAGGGGGAGTCCAGCGCATCTTTTGCCAACTGATCTGCCAGTTCATTGCCTAGTATGTCCCTGTGGCCTGGGCACCAAGCAAAAGTCACTTTGAGGGAGGTCGGAAGCTCCACAACCGCAGAATCAATTTGCATGAACAACCATTGCCCTGGTTTGGGGGTATTTGGTTCCCTTGTTCTCAAAATGACCCCTTGGTTATCAACAAAGATTATGAGGTGACAATGTCTTCCATCCACCGTCAACTCCTTCGCCAGTCTGATAGCGGCCAAGACTCCCGCTGCTTCGCATTCGTGATTTGATATGATTGCTTTGTCCCCAAGTGAGTACGCTGCAAAACAATTTGAAGCCGGGCAGATGGCGGCTCCTGCTCATCCCTTCTCCGGATGGAATGACCCATCACTGAAAACCAACAGCGCCCTCGGATCGGAAGAATGAGATGAAATGATGGACTTAACTGCGTTAATTGCCATTTCCTTGGTCAACCCTAGGTTGGCATAATCCACATCCCGTGAGGATGACATTCCAAAACCAAAAGGGAGATGAACACGTTCCGGATCCAATTTCAAGGCTTGATCAACTAAATGTGTTGCTAATCCACTTCGTGTCGAGTCTGAAAATCTGGTGGAGGAATCTGCCCTACTGGAAAGAATAGATAACCGAACTATATTACTAGTCTTTATTGTAATTATTTTCCGGTAGAAAAAGGAGAGACTTGTCTTGATGACTTCACTGAAGAATGGTTGAGTTGCCGATCTGGCCTGAATAAATGTGTGCGGCGTTGATTTGAAGACCCCAAGCGCAAAAATCCCCGCTAGACGGTCCACCTTATTGGCAAGGGTTTCAACCTTCCCTTTGTTAGGAGTTGTCGCCCACAGTGCCACACCGTATGTGAGCCTAGGGGTCAGAACACTCTTGATAAATTTCAACCTATCCAACTCTTTAGCCCCCCAGCGAGAATTGCCAAAGATCCGTAATTGATTGAAGGTTTTTTGGGCCTTCTCCTCCAACGACTTGAAATTCTTGTTGAAAAGAAGTTTCCTATCCAGCCAAACACCTAGCCATTTGACATCAGTCATAGGGACAAGATGGTGCGCACCAAATGGGAGGTTTCCGTCTGGGACTTTTCCTTTGGACAGCCAGAGGAAATGAGCTTTGGCCTGGTCAAAAATAGCTCCATGGGAATCACCCCAACGAAGTGATTGTTGGCCTTCCTCAATCAGCAGTTTTTTGGCTGCTTCGGCTGACCTTGACACAACCAGATGGACGACATCATTGACGTAACCTAAGGAGACCGAGTCTAAAGAAGTGCAGAAGTTTTTCTTCAGCAGCGAGTTATTGTAGAGAGTTTAAAGAATAACGGAAAGGGGGGAGCCTTGTGGTAAACCAATCTGTATGGCAAAGGCCTTTGAAGTAAAGTCGTCTAGCCTGATCGTTGTTGACCTGTTCTTTAAAAAATCAGCAATGATCAATATCAGGTAAGTTGGGCATTTGAGACGAAAAAGATAGTCAATTAATCTAGCTGGATGAACGGAGGGGTAGGCCAATTTCACATCGAGAAATAGCGCTGCTACTACCTTCCCCTCCTTCCACTTTGCCTTTACCCAATGCTCAAATGCAAACAGGGCATCTTCAGTGCCTGAGCCCTTCTGTCCTCCAAAATGCCCATCGGCAAGTATCTCCGATTGTTCGGCCCACACCGTGAGTCGCCTAGCAAGGATAAGCTCAAAAAGCCTACTCATAGTGCTGAGTAAGGCTATTGGGCAATATGCTCCAGGGTTGGTATAATCTGGCTTGCCGTGTTTCCGGATGATTGCCGTAACTGCAATCTTCCAAGGAGCAGGGAATCTACTGGTAATCAGTATGTTATTGTACAAGTTCACCAGGATCATTGATAAGGGCTCAGAGAGGGACTTAAGTAGTTCATTTGCTATCCCATCAATCCCCGGGGCTTTTTTGGCCAAACCCTCTGGATAGCCAAAGCAACTTCCTTCTCCGTAACTGGCGGATAGCTGCTGAATCTGCAGGTTAAATCAAAACTGACGTCCGAGAGATCAATCGGGACATTAGTGACTGATGTTCCCTTGAATAATAACTCAGCTTGGTGGTGTTTGTCATGGACGATGGAGCCGTCACGATCCCTCAGGGGCAGGACTTCCCCGTTTGCCGTTTTGGATGAGAAGCGGAGAATCCTGTAGAGGTCGCCCTCTTCTGGGTTTTCCAGGAGTCGCCTCCAGTTCCGCTGTTTGAGAGATTTGACTAGAGACAAAAAGTAATCATTCCACTGTCTATAGCATTCACACGATTCTGGGGACTTAGCTAGAATCATCCATTTCCGTGCCCGGTTGCGCGTGCGGAGAACGGGGTTTAGAGTCTCCTTGCACCACCACGGCTTGGCTTTTGCCGGGTTGGATTTGATCCGATGTCCAAGCTTTTCTTGAGCCTGTTTGAGGAATGATGTCAGTTGCGTAGCATGTTCCTCAGGGTCCTCGGGGGCCGTGGAGGAGAGGGCTGATAACTTAGCAGTGATTGTGTCCATCTTCCTCTTGTCCAGGTCCTTCCAGTCTGGGAGTCTCCAGTGGTAGGCTGGCGTTGGGTGTTTCATCATGAGGTGAATGTGAATTGCTTGATGATCCGAACCAAAATTATTACTCAAGACCAATGTTGAATCGATTAATTTTGAACCTAAGAAATTAGTCCACACTAAGTCAATTGTTGTTCCCTTCCCTTTGGAGGAAAAGAAAGTTGGGATATGGCGTGGGGAAGATAAACGAAAGCCAAAACCAGAAAGGAAACTTAGCAGGTTACGAGCCTCTGGCTCAGTCCTCCTGCAGCTGGGAGGGTTCCAATGTTGGTGATGCAGGTTTGCATCCATGCCGATAATTGTTGGTTGCTGTCGGGAGTAAGATTGTGTCAGCCAATTCTTCAGTTCAGGGATTGCAGCAAAGGAGGAGGGGGGGTTGTAGACATTCAGCAGTCGAAATATTTTCCCAGAAAGTTGGGTAACTTCCACTCCAACAAAGGTCTGTGACCCTCCCTCAAGTAGCTAAATTGCCTCTGAGGGGAAAGAACGCTGTATATATATTACAGTTTTGTGTCTTTCATTCCAGACGTTAGGAATATGCTCAGAGGTGACATAAGAGCGCCAAGCAGCGTGCTGGGGTGGCCAAAAATCAAAGGGATTGACCCAGGGCTCCTGGAGAAGAAGAAAATCAAAAGAAAGCGAGGAATTTAGAAGACTTAGCGTGACAGATTTGGATACGTGACAATTCAGCTGCAGGGCGGAGCAGTTGTGAGGCGTTGAATTCTGGGGTGAAGTTGATGCCTTGAGGTCTTGGCGGATAGTGACAATGGGATCGCTGAGGAGCTTGTTTGACAGGGGGATTTGAGAAGACGATTGATGATCATGTTGAGAATAGTCGTGAGTTACAATTGGTGTACCTAACATTGAGAGGGTAGGGGTTTTTTATCAAACCAGGCCTTCTTGAAGGGGCAGGCCATGTTGAAAGGAGTGTGCTTGATGTCGCTGACACCTTCAATCTTGTTCTTGATGCCTTCCTTGCAGAGAACGCACGTCTTGACACCACCAATGCCATTGGGGCATTCATTTGTCAGATGCTTGCCGGCACACTTTGCACACCTGGCGGATTCTCGGCACCATTTGCCAAAGTGTCCCATCCTGAGGCATTTGAAACACTGGGGTGGACGAGGCTTGAAGCGTTCCGTTTGGTGGTAGTCGTAGTTCAGGAAGATTCCTGACTTCTCAATCCGAAAGGCCAAGTCTTTGTTGGTAAACGCCAATACTAGAGAGCCGGCCTTCTTTGTTGACGGTTCATTTGAGCCCATCCATCTTACGCGCGCTAGATTGATTGCTTGGAAGTTATTTTTGGAAGCCAGCAGTGCAAGATTAGCGGGCCTGCTGATATCAAACGTCTTGGGAATTCCATGGGCCATAACCAAATAGGTGCTGGGGGTCGCCTCCAAATCGGGATGAACTGCCTTGGACCACACGTGTTTGTTGTCCATGAGCCATTTCTGGTGTGATCTGTTCTTCGTGTAGAAAGAGACATCACCGGAGGGGAGCATGCTCGCTCCCCTGATTGCTACAGCCTCGCCTCTAACTCGAGCATCTAGGCCGAGAAGGGCCTCGTTTGCTTTCTGGACCAGGGCCCCGCTGGGCACATCCTTCAATGTAGTGTTTGCAGGGTTTGAATGAATAATGACCTGTTTTGGTTTCAAGGAGGCGATGGTCTGCTTGGGTGGGGAACGTGTCGTCGGCGCGTGAATGGATCCGGCAAGGGTTGTTGACGCGACTGACGCAAAAGATTTTCCGGCGCTCGTTGCAGGCTTGGAACCCGTCTTCATGAGTTGCTTGAGTTCAGCCATCTGTTCAATCAGGGGATCGACTTTGGCATTGAGTTGGTCAACGGTGGCCTCGAGTCGCTGGATCAAGCGTTCATTGTTGGCCGAGAGGTCAAGGATCATTTCAACAAATTGGCATCC